TTCCAGGAACAGCAGTGGAAGAGCATTAATATTCACAGTAGTGCTCAGCTGACACGCATTGCACACCTGTCCATTCACATTGCCTGATGAATAGAGCCACATCAGAGTGACAATTGTAAGCATGTGCACAGAACTCAAATTTTGTGGCAGAATCACAGACACCTACAGAGCGAGCTGATCTACAGCAGTTACAGCCAAGCAGAACAGGGCATGGTACCTATTCTGGCAGGGTATAGGGGTGGCCAGCCTCTGCTACTTGCCATGGCTGGTCCAGTTCAAGGCCTAGCAGCACTCGCAGTGAGCACCAGCTGTATGGTGGTAGCAGATACAAAGCCTATGTACCTAGCAGGGAGGACAAAGCAAGTCTGCCCTAGACACCTAGTTTGTCCACCGCATCATCTACAAGATGCCCGTCCCATGTTGGGTGGAGCCCCAGGTGTAGGCCTACACTCAGGGTCAAAACTATGACATAGGTGACTGACCTGGGCCATGAGTTCATAGAGGGTACAGTGGTAGAAGGGGCATTCCTTGAGGGGCCCTGTGGGCTACCATCCAGTGTATGCTCTTGGGCATGTTCCCTCAGAGGCTACAAATAGGAACTTTAGAGCTACAGGTCAGATCTTAAAGTTGGTTTTTTTCTCTACGGTTGGAATGGGAGGAATGGCAGGGAGTCTTGCCCTTTAACACAACCTTGCAGCCACCTCCTCTATCCTGCATGCTATGGAATTTCTCCATTCCTGCTTTCCCAAGTACATCTTCTAAGATGACCACAACCTCTACCATGGTGACAATTCCAACTCTGTAACTGAGGATTCCTTTCTGCAGCCCAATGTTGCTCTTCAGCTGAGACCTGCACATCTCACTGCTTCCCAGAAACCTCATTCTGGTATCCTGTATCTTCAGGCCTTTTTTTTTTTGGGGGGGAGGGAGTTGTGGGGGGAGGAAACAGGATCTCACTATATAGCTCAGGCTGACTCAAACTCAGTGATCCTCCTGTCTCAGCCTCAGAGTGCTGAGATTAAGGCATGTGACACTACAGCCAGTCACCTCCAGGTATCTGAAGTCTGGTTCCCCAGTGCAATAAAACATTCACCATCAACTCATCATCCAAACTAGAATTGTGCTTAAAATCCAGTGAAAACACATTATTTAAGTGACTTTTCTTGCTTTTGTGTCTGTGCCCTCATAAAACACCGGATAGATGTGACCAGGGGTGGGGCTCAATGGGTCCTTGGTAAATGGACACACGGATGAAGGCATGGACTCATCCCTCCTTTCTGTTCCACAGCTTAAACAGTTCCAAGCTGACATTGCCTTCCATATTGCTCGTCTTTCCTAATCAGAGGCAAAAGCAACAGCAGCTTTCAGACTTACTGTCAGGGCTAGAGTAAACAGTAGTTCACTCTAACTACAGTTACAGTGGGTAGGGAATGCCCACTGCACACTTAAAAGACTAGGTTTGTATTTGTTCTGTACCCTTTTGGATTGTTTTGGGTTTTTTGTTTGTTTTTTGAACTGGGGATTGAATTCAGGCCCTTGGGCTTGCCATGGAAGCACTTATTCTACTGAGCTATCTCCCCGGCCCCTTGATTAGAGTCACATAGCTCTCTAGTTCTTTAACAAGACCTGTTTACAAGGTAGGGTTCACATCCAGAGATACCACAGAGGCAACTACAGGGATAAGGGTCACTGATAAAAGTTATGACTTCAGGGGAAACAATGACAAGCAGAACATGACAAAAACAGTGACAAATGTGCTACGGTGGCACACCTGTAATTGCAGTACTCGGGAGGCTGAAGCAGGAGGATCACCAGGAGTTTAAAGTCAGCCTGAAGTACATGAGTTACAGGCTAACCTGAATTGCATAGGGAGACTCTTGTCTCAAAAGGGCAAATCATGAAGGCCAGTGATAGGAGCAGAGAGATGGGGATAGTAATGAGGGCCACAATGGGACCCCCTGAGATAGGTATAGGAATGAAAACCTACCATGGGGCCCCGTTCAGGGGCTCAGTGATAGGACAGAAACAGGAGACAAATGGGAGACAGCTCCCCATGATACAGGTAAGGACAGGACAGGGATGGGAGGTCACTACAGGAACTATAATAAAGAACCATAAATGGGATAGAGGTAGATCACCTGGGAAACTGAGTTGGCTAGCCAGCCTACCCTGGCCATACATGCTCACAGGCAGAACCTCATCTCATATTCCCCAGAGGGTTTCTGGCTGTTCTGCTCCAATGGTACTGGATTTTCTGTGGGCATGGGTACCCTGAATCTAATGGTCATTTGGGTTCTATACAAGAATGGCTGGGTCCAAGGGCTGGCCAGATAGCCCAGCAGACTAAAGTGCCTACTTAGGTAGGTGCAGTGACTGGGGTTAGATCTGACCAGGGTTCGATCCCCAGTGTGCCATACCAGCCCTGCCCTTGGGGTGCGCTGAGACCATGATTGAGACTGGGCATGGTGGTACATGCCTGTACTCCCAGCAGTTGGGAGGCTGAAAACAGGAGGATTGCTACAAGTCTGATCTGTGTACTAAGACTCTGTACTAAAAAAAAAAAAAAAAAGATGGTTCAAAAAAAAAAAAAAAAAAAAAAGATGGTTCAAAGTTTCAGTTATTTCCGAAGGAAGCAGGCTTTAGCTTGTGATTTCACCCCAGAGCCTGTGCCTACTTCTTTTCTAGGTCCAACTTAACCCTTAGTGGACAGCTTGATCCCTGAGTAATAGTGATCCCAGGAAGGAGGTGTAAATGGTTGTAAGGAAAGTTTTGGCGCACATGTTCATCAACAGTGGCCATGGTCCATGGTGCATTCAAACAGCACAGCTGCTGAGTAGACTGTATGGAAGCAGGGGGAGAAAAGGGATGGGTTATCAGCTGTAGTAAGCATCAGACAAGAGACAGGATTAATACTTGCCGAGAGCTGGATAAGTTCAGTGGTCTAAGTGCCTGCCTGGCAAGCACATGGATCCAGGTTTGATCCCCAGTCCCGCATGCCATGCTGACCCTCTGAAACTGGGTAGGGTGGCTAGGCCTGTAATCCCAGCACTGGGGAGCCTGAGATAGGAGGATCATTATGAGTCAAAGTTTAGTATTAAGGTCCTGTACTGAATAAGAAAAAAAGAATCTCTTTAAAAAAAAAATAGTTGCTGAGCAAGAGCAAGCCTTTTAGGCTGGGACACAGGATCACCTTGAAATTCATGAGGTATGTAAATGTGAAGATTCCCTGTAGGTCCAGCTGGACAAAGACATTCTCAAAATCTGCAAGCCAGGTGTGATGGTGCATGCTTATAGTCCTACCACATAGGAGGCTAGAGCAGGAGCAATACCTTGAATTCAAGACCAGCCTGAATAGTGATGACAAGACCCTGCCTCAAGAAGTATTTAAAGGGGGGTCAGTGGGATAGCTCAGTGGAATAAACGCTTGCCTGGCGAGTGCAAGGGGCTGAATTCAATCCCCGGTTCCACAAAACAAAAAACAAAAAACAAAAAACCAGCTCTCAAATATGGACAATGCCAGCACCCTCATCCCTTTTCCATCTGCCACCAGGTCTTACTGCCACTCTGGGAGATCACATTCTAAATGTCATGGCCTCTGAGTCAGGCCAGACTCCACAGGAAAAGCCCAAAGAGACTGACTGAGCACATGGATGTTCATTCTCTCCAAAACTTCACAGCACAGGCTGCTCACCCCAGCCCATAGCAATAACCTGAACATCCACAAGATTTCACTTACCCAGAATATCCTAAAAATAGTTCCTGGGGCTGGGGAGATAGCACAGTAGAATAAGCACGTGCCTGGCAAGCGCAGGACCCTCAGTTCAATCCCTGGTCCCGCCAAAAAAACCAACCAACCAAAGTTCCTAAAGCCTTTACCTGATTTTCCCACCTGTAGGTGACAATATAGTAGTGCTTGGGTTGTGGTGGATAAAGTTTGAAAGCTCTGGCCATCGTCAACAACCAGGCTGGGTTGAGAAGGTAGCAACTACCAACCAGGTAGGGGAGCTGGTACTTCCTAGGCAACTGTTCTAAGAGCCTGGACTGGGAGGGGGAATCTGAGATTCTTGGGACACCCCTACCCCACCAATCCTGATTTCCTCTACACCAGCTTGCCCTCAGAAAAAGAGCCAACTCCTCATACAATGGTCACAGCACCAGCAGGAAAACTAGAATATAACTCAAATCTACTAGGAGTCCTGGGCACCAGGCACTAAAATTAAGCCTGAGGGAGGATCCACAGTGGGCTCCAAGCAGGGCTATCCTTTAGAAGTATGGTCCTTGGGTCATTCCCCATACCTCATTATGGATGAAAAGAACTCCCACAGGAAAGTATCAGAGTTGTGGACTACAGTATATCTGGGAACAAGGAGTAACCCTTTGGGGAACTAAGGGAAAGATAGTCAGGGAACATTAGCAGCATCCACTAGACAAAGGGGAATGGGGACACCCAGAAGCACAGGGTTGCTTCTCCATAGGTCCAACCCCTGAGCAGCTAGTGCTACTGGGGCCCACTCAAAAAAGAGTGATTCTCAATTAAATGAAGCTCCTACTCACAGCCCTGAAAAGGCAGTCTCCAGAAATGTGTTACCTTTCTCTGGGCCACAGCCAGTGCAACTGAACCTGGCCAGCAAGACTGCAAATGGCTGTAGTAGCTGCTTCCATTGGGAGTCCACTCCCCTCCCCAAAGCTGACAATGTTTGAAACACACAGGCCTGAGACTTAATGTGAGATCCAGGAGGAAATCCATACTGGAAAACCTCCTTGCTTCTCTACCACTGGTACCCTACCCAACTACGAAGAAAATTCTTTGGTCAGTAAAGGCAGGCACTGTGGTCCCGATACCAAATCCCTTGTCAACAACTGGAGCTGAGGATAGTAACTCTCAGCAGAGCACAGGCCCCAACCCACACAAACCCAAAGTGCCAAGTTTTATTTTTTTGAGATAGGGTCTATGGTTCAGATTGGTCTTGAAATCACTATATAGCCCAGGCTGCCCTTGAACTCTTGGCAATCCTTCGCCTCAGCCTCCCAAGTGCTACGATTACAGGCTTGTGCCACTATACCTGGCTAAAAGCGCCAAGGTTTTAGAAAGAGCTGGTCCAGAGACAAGGCTGCCTGTTTGGCCTCCAGGGAACCATACCACCAAGGTTCCCTTCCCTGGCCTGGAAACTTAGCTGGAAAGTACCCCACTGCTGCCCAGTCATCCCATCTAGGGCCTGATTGGATAGAAATCATGGCAGCCTCAAGAAATTGGTACTGTCCGTGCCCTCGACATACATCTTATACCACTATAGAAGCTACCATCTGAGTGTCCCCTCACCTTTCCATAGGAGCCTGGAAGCTACCCACACCCACAATCCCACCCCATCACTCAAAATGATGCTCCTGAGACACTTTCCCTATATGCTCAAGCTAGCCTGCCAGCAGCCACACACATACAAAAAGACCATGGAGGGTGGGCAGGGAGACTGGAAGGTGGAAAGGTATAAAACGTGATAGATGGAACAGAGGACATACAGCTTCAAGAACAAGTCACAGTGCATTGCGCCAAGAGAACACCCCTCCCACCACCACCCCACCCCAAATCCTTCAATTTTTTAAAGAAGGCTGGTGCCGCCAGTGCCCTGGAGAGGTACCCAGAGTTGTTCAAGGTTGCAGAGTCCACAGGCATGGCACACTGTGCCACTGGCCGTGCAAACAACTGGGCTACTTTTCCAAACACTGCTGTATGAAGGAATCAGGACATCAAATATGGCATTAATGGCTGGAGTCGTATTACAGGCGACAGGTTCACACGGAGGATCCGTTGGGCTTGCTGCAGAACCTCATCATCTGAGGACTGCTTGCTCACTTTTATGGCACGGAACTTTACCAGCTTTGCTGTTCCTGACTCCAGGCAGGACTTAGGAAATTGGGACCCAAGCCATTTTTTCTTCTTTGGAGGGAGGTCCTTTGCCTCCTCAGCCCTTTTCCTCTTCTGCCCCAGAGTTATACAGTGACTTTGCTGGACCTTTCTTGAAATTCTAGGCTGAACAGATCCCTTTGGCCTGCCTCTGCTCTTGGGCTGGGTCTGAGCCACCTGGTCCTGTGCTGCCTTGGCCTTAGCCCGTGCTGCCTTAGCCTTGTCCCGTGCTGCCTTGTCCTTAGCCTTGTCCCGTGCTGCCTTGGCCTTAGCCTTGGCCCGTGCTGCCTTGGCCTTAGCCTGCATTCGAGCCACATTGCCATGGACAGCTTTGGCCAGTGTTCGAGTTGCTTTGACCTGGGCTGTTTTGGTGCCCGGAGTGGAGCCCTCTTTCATTTGCAGACCATGGAAGGAGCCAATAGCTTTATAGGACTTTCTCTGGAGCCCAGTGCCTTGCTGGGGCCCAGGCCTAGAACCTTTGTGAGTCAGACACGTAGGGCCCTTGCTTGTGGTTTTTTTAGGAGCTTTGGACGAGGGGTTCTCTGGGCTCTTTCCTGAACCTTTCCGTACTTTCAAAGGAGAGTTTGCAAGTGAGAGCTGCAGCGACTGTGGCTTGTGCTTAGCATTCAAGCAGGGCATGGAATTCTTGAGTGGAACCAGGGCCTCAAGAACAACAGAAAGTCGCATGGCAGGGTAGACACCTGGATATAGGTGGGTGGGAAACCCCATTGTTGCACCCCTGGTTCGGCTGGCACTTGATTGCTTCAGGGAGCTCAGCAGCAGGTTGGTAGTAGTATGCTTGGTGAGGGCTGGTGTAGATCCTTTGGCCAGCCTGCCTGACAATGACATGGGGAGCAGGGTGGCACGGCCTGTGGGCAGGTGCACAGCAGTTCGGGGGGCAGTGGCTGGAGGTGATGTGGAAGTTGAGTTGGGGGCACGGGCCTGTAGCTTCGTCTGACTTGGGGGATTGGCTGTGCATGAACTATAGCCATAGACATCACCGCTGCGTAGAATGGTAGGTTGGAAACCATCATCTCGCAGGCCCTGCAGGAAGGCCACAAGCTGCGCCTCTGTAGCACTGAGATCCTGGCTCATAGGGTTAAACACAAGCAGTGCCTCTTCCAGGGCTTTCTTCCCTGCGGTGGAGATACGGGACCAGGAATGCACAGCTTTCTCCTCCACGTGCTGCACCACCACACTCATGGCATTAGGCACTGCAGTTCTGCCTGGGTATCCACAAACCAGTGCTTGGCACCTCCAAGGCAAGAAGAAAAGGATCAATAAGAATGGCACCAAGATATGGAGGCAGAACAGGTAGACAGGTCTAGCAGGGTCTCCACTCCCCATGACACTGAGGGCCTGGTCAGAGTGAGTCTATCCCTGTGGTGAAACCTGATCTCTTGGGGTGGATGTTGGTCAGGTACTTTCTTTAGGCTATATTCTCAAAGTATCTCAGAACCACTTAACTTCCTAGGCTTTGGGAAAAATTTATTTATCATTTTGTATTTAGTAAAGGGTTTACAAGGTCTCAGAGTGATTGGACTCATAATGATCCTCCTGTTTACAGCCTCCCAAGGGCTGGGATTACAGGCAAGTATCACCATGACGTCTCAATCGCTGTCTGTGAGCCCCGGGGACAGGGCTGGCATGCCCGGGATGGAACCCCACCGCATGTGTCTGCCTAAGAAGGCGCTTGAATCCACTGAGCTATTTGGCTGGCCACTCTGGGAAAAATTTAAACCTGGATCATTTAAATTCACTCTTGTCTGTTTTCAAATAGGATCTCACTATGTTGTATAGGCTGATCTTTTAACCTCTGGATTTAAGTGATCCTCCTAGCTTCCCTGATAGTTGTGCACCACCACACCCCATTATATCTGTACTTTTTTATGTTTGTGATATATAGCATATTTCTCATGGGCAATCGGTACATGCACATATTGTATCTTGATTTTTTTTCAGCAAGGGATATAGCTCAGTGCACAAGTGAGGTCCTAGCAAGTGCAAGGTCCTGAGTTTGATTTCTGGTACAAAAAAAAAAAAAAAAAAGGATGTATTGTTAATTATTTTTTTCTTCCCCTTAAATCTGTATTTTCTGATGTTAAAGCCTAATTAGATACAACCCTGGGAAAATAGGTAAATATTCCTGTCCTTAAGAAGCTCAGTCTATAAGGTAAGACAGAGCCACCATTAAGAATGGGGGGGGGGGAGAGAGACGGCTGAGTAGAATAAGCACTTGCATGGCAAGCGCAAGGGCATGAGTTCAACCCCCGGTTCTGCAGAAAGAAGAAAATATTCTTGGAGAGGGCCAGGGAACTAGTTCAGTGGCCTACGCACCTGAGTTTGATACCCAGTACCCCCCCCAAAAAAAAAAAAAAAAGATTCTTGGAAGTGCATGTATGGTTCAGCTTGCCAACAGGTCACAAAGGATTCCTGAGTGGTAATACCTACCTAGCATGAATGATAGATGAATAAAGAGCAAAAAGAGGAGTAGCATATACACTGAAGTGAGAAAAAGCAAGGAACAACTGGTATAGTTTGGGGTCTAGCTAGAAAAACAAGTTACAGGATCCGGGGAGATGGCTCAATGGAAAAAGTGCTTCCCTGGCAAGCGTAAGGGCCTGAGTTCAATCCCCAGTTCCGCAAAAAAAAAAAAAACAAGTTACAGTTATGGAAGCTGAGTGTGATGGCACATGCCTGTAATCCCAGCACTTGGGAGGCTCAGGCAGGAGGATCCCTATGACTTTGAGAACAGCCTGTGCTACACAGTTAGTTGAAGGATAGCCTGAACTGCACAGTGAAAGTTTTGTTTTGTGGTGCCTGGGATCAAACTCAGGGCCTTGTGCTTGTCAGGCAGACATTTATGCCACTGAGCTATCTCCCAAGCCCATGAAACTATCTCAAAACACACAACACACACACACACACACACACACACACACACACAAAAACAAGTTATGGGCAGGGCAACAAAGAATGTTGAATAATGGCCAAAGGGCAGATTTACACCTAATGTTCATATCCGTTCCACCAGCTGCTGGGGGTTGGCTCTGCTTTCAGGGTTCCTAGACATGCTACTTGGCAGCCCAATTACTGGCTCTATTCATGAAGACAAACCTCAGAGAAAGAGCCATTCTTCAACAGGAACTAATACGCTGATAGGCAGCAGATGGGAATGACACCTAAGCAACTAGGCATCCTGGGGGCCAGGCAGAGAAATCAAGAGCCCAAGGTCTGAAAACAGGAAAGCTAACTGCTTCAAGTGGGCTGGCCAGTCAAAAGGACATCTGAGATGTGAGCCATCCTAACTAGAGCTTAGAAGACAGCAGGACTCAGCACAGCTGAGAGTTATGAACACCTAAACTGCCTCAGACTTCTTTGAAGAAGCTGTGGCTGTCAATCATCACCAATATGTAACACCCAACCCAGCATCTGAGGATCCCACAGAGATCCCCAGCAGCACTGAAACATTAAAAGATCAGCCTGGATCAGTGAGGTCCCTGGGGCCTCGAGGCCCATCTGTGCAGCTTCTCCCCACCACACTAATGGAGCAAGATGAAGTCTTCAGAATACCCTGGAGGAAGTGCCCTGGGGCTCTCTGTTTGGAAACATTCTTGGATCCTCAGGTGTCTGAGGCACTTCCCCTCCCCAGAGACCACTTTCCAAGCACAATCCTTGTACATGACTTTAGTTGTTTTATTTATTTAGCAATTGAGGTGATGCAGTTCCCGGGGCAGTGAACTGTACAGGTAGGGGGCCTATTTCCCACCCACGACCCCCTACACACATATTGGAGTTGACCGCGGGCTCCTCGCCCAGGCCCCTTGGGAGGGGGCGGTCTTCTTGGCTCTTAAGCTTCGAATACACAGGCTGAAGCCGGGCCCCCGACTTGCCTTCACACGTGCCTCCGGGCCCAGCAGGGAACGTAGACCGAGACAGGGCGAGAGGCAGCATCCAGGAAAACTGGGGTCTGGGGCAGACTGGGGCCCTCGACCTGGGAGACTGCGTCCCTGAGGCCCACAATTACGTGTAGAACGCGCGTGCCAGCCCAGCCGAGACCGCGAAGCCCCAGGGTGGGGTCGCCGGTGGGGGTGGGAAGTCTTAGCCAAGCCAAGGGAGAACGCGGGTTCGGAAAGAGAGGCCCGGCCCCTCCGCCCTGCAGCCTTGCCGACCGCCACTCCGGAGCGCGGTTAGGCCCGCGGCTCTAACCTACCGGCGCCGCCGCGGGGACCCGGGACGCACCTCTGCGCCGCCGCCGCTGCTCCAACATGGCCGCCTGCTGCGCGCCGGAAGTGTAGCACGCTTCCGCTTCCGGGACCCGGCCCGCCCTAGTGACCCTTGACCCTTGAGACACCCCCCCCCACCCCCCATCCCCGCCAGCCTCGGGGCGAGTCGTGTTAGGTACCAGGAAGGGCTGCCTGGAGGTGGTGGCTGACTAGACTGTTCCAAATCAATCTGGTCTAGTAAAGGAGATTGAGGAGCAGGGGTGCCCTTGTACATAGCCCTCAGAAAGTGGAAAGACTTACTGAAACCCAGCTAGGATGCAATTAGGGGCTGGCACTCTAAAAGGCCCTGGTAGTGCATGATATCTGGGAATGGCTCCTGGGCAAGATTCAGGCCATCTTCCACTCTGCCCTTTCAGTAGCTATTGACAGAGCCCACTTCTGTCCGGGGTACTTGACCAGAGAATGAAAGAGGATAGTGTCTCCTGACAGTCTCAAGGTAGCCCCTTTGCTTAAGAGACTGAAGCCTGTTTATGAGACTGAAGCCTGCTTACATTCCATGAAAAGGTAGTGTGCACAAAGAAGCCCAGGGCCACCATGTTCATTCTGTAGGTCACAGCGTGGGCCTGAGTATAATAGCCCAGATAAGTGTACGTAGATATAGTAGGGAGATCCTGGTCCAGCTTCAACCCTTCAATGCCACAAAGTCCCATCTTCAGTTTTTACATTACCAAAAATCCTTGCCATTTTGTAAGGAAGACTGGCATCTCAGTCTTTCCACTTATCTCCTACAGCTAGCATAGGGATGGTGGATAAAAGGGTGAATTCTAATTTTAGGTGAAGGGTTAGAATGATCTTTGCAGCTCTGAACAAAGACCCTACTTGTCAGGGACCCCCAAAACCCAATTGGGAGCATCCATGGGGACTCCTGGTAGTGGGTCTGAGCCTGTCAGAGGAGACAGAAATATTGTCATAACACTTTTTTTCTTGACACCTGGTCTTGCTATGTAATTCAGGCTGGCTTCAAACTCTTGGGGATTCTCCTACGTCAGCCTCCTAAGTGCTGGGATTACAGCCATGTACCACTGTGCCTGACCCAATTCTTCTTCTTCTTCTTTTTTTTTAAATGGACAGTCTTACTTTGTCATGCAGGCTGGCCTTGTATTCATTATTTGGCTGAGACTGACCTCAAACTTGGGGCAATGCCCCAGCCTCAGCCTCTCCGTGCTGGGATTACATGTGTTTGCCACCACACTTGGATTTCTTTTGTTTTGTTTTGTTTTTGTACTTTTAGGCAAGGGTCTACAGGGTATTCAGGCTCTCACTACTAGATCAGACTCATAGGGATCCACCTGTTTACAGCCTCCCAAGAGCTGGGATTACAGGTGTGCACCACCACGCTCAGTCTCAATTGCCATCTCAGCATGCCCCGGAGGCGGGACTGGTACAGCAGGCCCAGGGATCAAACCCCTGGCCCCTGTGCCTGTTTGCAGGTGCTTTAATCCACTGAGCTATTTGGCTGGCTCTTGTTTTGTTTTTTGAGACAGGGCCTTGAGCTTGCTATGTAGTCCAGGCTGGTCCTGCCTCAGCCTCTGAAGAGTTGGGATTATAGGCATATACCACCATATTTAGCTATTTGCCACATCTCTTGTACCCTAACCTTCACGACAGTGCCATACATGGTAGTTGGGGGCAATTACAAATCTACTAGCAATCACAAGAGTGTAGGTGATGCTTCATTTCAGGAGTGCTAGTGTTTCTTCATCCTTATATGACTCCAGGGTCGTCTTACTGCTCTATTTCCCTGCCTGTGAAGAGGAACCCAGACATCCCTAAAGCCAAGTACACATTCCACTCAGCAGTTCCCTAGGCCTCATTTAGTGCCTCTTAGTTTCTCAGGGGCTCAGGACTGATGATAGGATTCTCAGTGCCTTCCTCAAGGCTAGTGAAGTGTCTAGCAGAAACTGCCAAATTTCCTGCTCCTATAGGTTCAAGACATTTAACTCCTTATGCTGGTAGAGAGAAAGGTAGGGTGAAGTCCCACAGACCAGGATCTAATCAGCATTCCTTTTTTAAAATGTATTTAGTACAGGGTCCACAGGGTTTCACTACACAAATCAGACTTGTAGTGATCCTTCCTGTTTTTCAGCCTCCCATGTTCTGGGATTACAGGTGTGTACCACCCATTGCGCAGTCTCAATTGCCATCTCAGTATGCCCCAGGGGTGAGGCTGCACAGCAAGTGGGGATGGAACCCTGACCCCTGCATCTGCCCATCTGCTGAGCTATCTGGCTGGCCCTCCCTTTTTCTTTTGAGACAAAGTCTCACTATGTAGTTCAGGCTGGCCTTGAACTTTTTTTTTCTTTTTACTTTTTCCTTTTTTTTTTTCAGAACTGGGAATTGAACTCAGGCACTTGAGCTTGCCAAGGAAGCACTTACTCCACTGAGCCATCTCCCCGGCCCCCCTTTTTTTTCGAGACAGGGTGTCTATATGCATTTTAGGCTGATCTTATACTCACTTTGTAGCCCAGGGTGGTCTCAAACTCACAATGACCCTCCTGCCTCGATTTCCCAAGTGCTGGGATTACAGGAGTGCACCACCATGCCTCCTTTAGGTTATAATGAGGAAGTCCTAATTTGGCACTTCCAGTTGTGGGTGAGCCTGTCTATGGCCCTGTCCATGGTTCAAGGTTGGTTGGTTGATTGTTCACTCACAGGACTAACCCAACCTCAGCTTTTATCCCAGTGGTTTCCAAAGCCAGTAGTGTCACTCAACCTCTTGTGTGCAGATGGGATAGAGCTATACAAAACAAAGACACTTCTATGAAGAGGTAGAATTTGGCCTCCTGAGATGGCACCAGCCTAGGTGTGTTTTGTGGAAAGAATATCCTTCTCTGGTGATGTCCAGCCTAGAGGTCAGGGCAAAATGGAGGGATAAGAATGGAAGCTCTATCCCTTGTTTTCATCTCTTCTGGAAATAGGAGCTGGAGGGATGGGTAAGAATAAGTTAGGGGCAAAGGTAATGGGATACCTAGCTCTCTAAGTGTATGCTGAAACATCTGTGTGCTGGTTCCCCAAGTAATCCCTAGATGGAACTCTCTGGAAGCACTTATCAGAGCATGATGACTTGCCCTAGACTTGAAAGCATAACTGGAAATAGAAAGGATGAGGTAGGCGAGACAAGAAGGTGATTACAGAGCCCATATCTTGCTCTCCATTTGGCATCTTCTACAGAACTTCATGGACTTTAGACCCACAGCTACCTGAGTAGCAAGATCTGGTAGAAATCTAGATGTGATTGAAGGCAGTGCCCTAGAGAAACTGCACCAAGAGAAGGAATGGATGCTGGTGAGGAAATCCAGGGTTGAATTTTAGGGCATTTCCTGGGGAAAGAAAGGAGGGCTTACAAAGAATTCCTAGAGGTCAGACAAGAAGCAGGAGGAAGCTAAAGTCACAAGGGGTTGAAACTTTGAAAATGCTAACAAGATTTCAGCTGAGGCAAGGCCCATGGGAAACACACCCCAACCCAAGTTTTGGTTTCATAGTAACTTTTCAAGAGCAATTTTTTTATTTTTATTTTTATTTTTATTTATTTATTTAGTGTGTGGCCAGCTCAGCCCACCAGGGGGCGGGGCTGGCTGGCATGTGGTGCTGGGGATTGAACCGTGGTCCCTGCGCTTTTTTGTTTAGCTTAGCTTGTTCTAAGCAGGTGCTTTAGACCACTGAGCCATCTCACCAGCCCCTCAAGAGCAATTTTGTGAAAGAAGTGGTAACAGACTGAGGTGGCAGTTAATTAGGCAGTGGAACCTATGAGAATAGATGCCTTCAAGAATTTGGAAGGGAGGAAGAGGAGGTTAGAGGGACTTGGGGAACTGAAAGATATCTAAAAACAGTTTCTAAGAGCTTACCTGCTAGAAAGGGGAGAAAGCACTTAAAAGGAACAATAATAATAATAATTTTAAAAAGGAACGGTAATAAATTTGAAAGGTTTTGCAGGGCAGTGTGAGCCTCAGTTTGGAAGAATCACCAGTGCCAGGGCTGGCCAAATAGCTCAACAGACTAAAGTGCCTGCTTAGGCAGATGCAGGGGACGGGGTTTGATCCCTGGCCTGCCATGTCTGCCCCACCCCCGGGGCACGCTGAGATGGCGATTGAGACTGGGCATGGTGGTGCGCACCTGTAATCTCAGTGCTTGGGAGGCTGAAAACAGGAGGATCACTACAAGTCTGATCTGTGTAGTGAGATCCTGTAAACCCCACACTAAATACAAAAAAAAAAAAAAGACAAAAAGTAAAAAAAGAATCACCATTGCCCCACGTGAGGAGCAAGTTGGGAAGTGAAATGGGGTGGGAAGATAGAGGCTTTCTAAGTTAGGATCTGTGGAGCCTGTAACCAGTCTCAGCACCACCATTTTCTATGCAGGCCTGCTGATTCCACTGTTAGTCTTCAAAGGGCTGAAGTCCACCTCTCTCTGGTCCCCTATGGAGAAGGGTTCACATACTCTCTGAGCAGGGCAGAAGCTAGTAGGCAAGGCCACAAATGCTTCCAAACATCTCAACCCACAATTGGTGGGGATTTAGAATGAGTACCTCAGCTCCCTTTAAACATCAATAATGTGAGGCCCATGTTTTGTACTGGCTCCAGGAGTCCGTGACAGGATCTGGTTCCAGTTGCCCACACTGGTAACTTGCTTGATGACACCTCCTTTTCTACTTTCCCTTCGTCCTTACTACTCTTCTGCTGGTGCTTCCTTCCTTGGCTCACCTCTTATGCTGACTATATGGACTTGTATTTTTGTGTCCAGTACAGGTCTGCTTTGGGTAAACTAAGATGCTGTCCATGTAAGTAGGATAAGGCAGTGAGTAAAGACAACAGCAAGAGCTTCTACCCATGGTGACTGCTTACTTGTACATGGGGATCCCCAGTTTGAAGACTCAATGAATATTTTGAATGCTTCAGAGACAGGTTGGGCCTGGATCTGAATCTGAGCGAGGTCAGCGCTGCCACCACAATTTGCTCTCATCTTAACCCAGAGTTAGTAAAAGCAGGCCCTGGATCCTGAATACGGGCAGTCAAAAGGCACCTTGGGCGCCAGAGAAGCTCGGGGATCAGGGGCACCCCTGGACTCTCCCATGCAGAGTTACTTAAGAATCCCTCCTCCTCATTCAGGCCTGTGGTAGGTCCCAGGGGGCCTGAGGCTCCCCTACCCTGTGGTCTTAATGTGTCCTATAGAATCTATTATGTATTCTCTTGTGCAATCTAGCCAGCCAGCCTCAACGAGGCTCCGGCCACGCCCCAGGTGGCCTACAGGGGGCGCCTCCACAGAGCGCTCGCCGGGCTCCCGAGCTCCGCTACGATGGGCGGGCGCCGGGCCTTGAAGCTCCCAGGTGCCGATGGCCGGCTCCAGGGCCCGCGAATCTACGCTGGGTCCGGCTCCGAGTGAGCCTTCTTTGTTCAGGTACTGTGCCTGTCACCGTCTCCCCATTTCTGCCCTCCCGCTCTCCGAGGTCGCCCCGAAGCCCGGGCGGACCCAGGGTCCACCTGTGCGTGGGTCCACCGGGGGTCGGCGTCCAGGCCCGCGCGGCGCGCGCAGAGTTAAGGCAGGAGGAGGATTCCTGAGCTGGGGGGCGAAGGGGGGCGGAGGGGCGGGCCCGGCCCAGCCCCGCCCCACGCCGGAGCGGTGGAGGAGCCCGCCGGAGCCCGGCTTCAGCCCCAGCCAGAGCCCTCATCAGCCACGGGGAGGGACGGACCCCGTGGCCCGGCGGCCCGCAGTTCAGGCCGGTGAGTCCTGCGGGAGCGGTGCGCGCTCGGGGGAAGTTCGCGGCGTGGAGCCTAGGCGCGCTCTTCCAGACCCGTCCCACCTCTTCGAGCTGGAAGTTTGGGGTCAGCAGGCCTCCTGCCAGGTCCCAAGGTCTAGGTGTGGAGCCCTCATGGAGGGGGAAGGCTGAAGAACTTGAAGTGTCTGCAGTTCGGGGGTTCTGGCGTGCAGCTGCTCATTTCTACAAGCAACGGTGTGGATCCCGGGACTCTAGAGTCTTGGGCTCATGGGAATCCCCAAACTAGTTGCCCTCCTGGGCGCCAGGGATTCTGCTGGCTTGAGCAGACCCTTGAGGGTGGATACCAAGGGCCATGTGGAACCCAGCTCCCTGAGCCCCTGGCCTTTTGTTGAGAATGATCGGCTTCTGTGGAACGGTGTTGTAAGGATAACCTGGAGCCTGGCTCTTGACAGCAGGTGGGGTCCCTTGCAGGGATCCCAGGCTGCCCAGGACACAGTGGAAGTGTGTAGGGAGGCTTCAGCAGGACCCTTCTCATGAAAAACCGGGCTGGGGGGCAAGGGGGAATAATGTTAGGATGTTCTTGTCACTTTTACTCCATCTACATACAGAGATACCCAGTTGCTCCTAGTTGTTAGAGCAGGAGGTGAAAGGGGGACTCAGCCTGGGTATCTGAGATCCGCCCTCCTTCCCACTCTGGAAAGCCTCCACAGTGGTGTGCCAGTCAGAGGGAGTGGTTTTGGGCTCTCCTTTCCCTCAGCTACAAGCTGCTTATCTGTTCGCTAAAGGCCAGTTGGTAGCCCTGACCCTTTGGTTTTGCTCTCTCCTCCAGGTGGAGGCAAGGTTCCTGGACTGGTCAGATATTACCTGGCAGGCCTGGCAGAATCAAGATGAACTCCATCATGTCTGCCCAGTGAGGCCTGCAGCCTGAGCAGACAGCATGGCCTGCCGCTGGCAGTGAATAACATGGCTACAGGAGGTGGCCGGGCCTTTGCTTGGCAGGTGTTCCCCCCTATGCCCACTTGCCGGGTATATGGCACAGTAGCACACCAGGATGGGCACCTGCTGGTTTTGGGGGGTTGTGGCCGGGCTGGGCTACCCTTGGACACTGCCGAGGCACTAGACATGGCTTCACACACATGGCTAGCACTGGCACCCCTGCCCACTGCCCGAGCTGGTGCAGCTGCTGTGGTTCTCGGTAAGCAGGTGCTAGTGGTGGGCGGTGTGGATGAAGCCCAGAGCCCAGTAGCTGCTGTGGAGGCCTTCCTGGCTGACGAAGGCCGCTGGGAGCGCCGGGCTACCCTCCCTCAAGCAGCCATGGGGGTTGCAACTGTGGAGAGAGGTGAGTGGCTACCCAAAGAAGATCTCTCAGGTGCATCAATACCCTCTCCTCACTTCTGACTTGATCCCTTACCTGCTGAGATTGAATAATATATGGCGTTTCCTCTGATATCCTCTGCCACCTCCCTCTGACTTGGGCTTGCAGTTGCTTTCTGCTGAGTTTTTTGGCTAGGAGGTCGGGGTAAAGCCCAGGTTGGCCCCCAAAGTGATGGGAGACCCAGCCACTACTCTGCCTCATTCTTTATCTCTAAGAGACAGTGTACATGCCTGTGGGGGAAACAGTGGCCTGATGACTCTCATGGTTATAAATAGTCTGAGATGGAGGGAGGGGAGCAGGGCCTTGGCTCAGAGCCCAGCCAGTGCTTAACTGCTTAGAGTTCCCTCCCAACACACACATACACACTGGAGATCCTGATGTGGACAGAAGCCAAACTGACCTGAAGATGGTTGCCATAGAATCCCCCAGTTCATAGACACTTTACTCCAAGGCGCCCAGACATGCCTCAAGCTCACCCTGAGGGCCTAACAGAAAGCAAGAAGCTACTCTAATGTAAAAGTATAGTGGAAAGGTGCTGCCAGGATGATTGGAGATGAACAGTTGTGGCCAGCACTTTTATCTTGCAGGGCTAAGCCCCCTCTAGTCTTACCCTACCCCCAAATTATCCCCAGGGTCCCTGCCCCAGACTGAGCTCCATGCTAACTAAATCCCTATATGCCCCAACACTTGTGTAAGTCAACCATCTCCTTCATCGGGGCCCCCACCTTGTGGCCTTCAGGTCTGACCACTGGTCCCTACCAGTCAGACTTGGTTGCCATAGCGTCTCCAGGGAGACAAAGCTGGATTATAATTAGATCAGCTGCCTCCTGCTCTTCACTCAGTAGGGCCCCAGTCAGAGAAGGAAGTGCTCTCACCTTCCACTCCAGATAGGTTTCAGAGTTTCAGACAAAGATGTGGATGTTTAGCTACACCTTGTCTAACCAGGGATGCTATCAGAGTGGAGTTCCTTGGCCAGCTGGGGTATAATCTGAATTACTCTTTTCTATACAGATGGTATGGTGTATGCTTTGGGAGGAATGGGCCCTGACACGGCCCCACAGGCCCAGGTACGGGTATATGAGCCTCGCCGGGATTGTTGGCTTTCACTCCCCTCCATGCCCACACCCTGCTATGGAGCTTCCACTTTCTTGCATGGGAATAAGATCTATATTTTGGGTAAGTGCCTAAAGCATGTGGGAAAGGGGCTCAGAGTTCAGAAGTCCCTATCCCCATAGATTGGCAGGGGTAGGGATCAGGCACAGTCTGAGACAGCAAAACTTAAAAAGCTTTGTTGGGTGATCCACTCCTATTCTGAGGCTCTGATCTCTGGTGGCCCTGCTGGGATTGGAAAACCAAACCCCAGTGCATGTAGGGTGGATGGTCTACATGCACTTTTGCAAACAGGTGGGCATGGGAGGCCAAGGCAGACAGATCAGCAATCTGGAGAGTGAGGAGCCCAGCAAGTCTTTTGGGCTTCCTTCTAGCTCCCTCAATTCCATTGACAGGGGGTCGCCAGGGCAAGCTCCCAGTGACTGCTTTTGAAGCTTTTGATCTGGAGGCCTGTACATGGACCCGGCACCCAAGCCTGCCCAGCCGCCGGGCCTTTGCTGGCTGTGCTATGGCCGAAGGCAGTGTCTTTAGCCTGGGAGGCCTACAGCAACCCGGGCCGCACAATTTCTACTCCCGCCCACATTTTGTCAACACTGTGGAGATGTTTGACCTGGAGCATGGTGAGCAGTGGCTGTCCTGGGCTGTCCTCTTACTCTCTGAGGGATGGAGGGATATGGTGTATGTGTGGCTAGCTGTGATCTCCCCTTTCCTGCAGGGTCCTGGACCAAGCTACCCCGAAGCCTACGCATGAGGGATAAGAGGGCTGACTTTGTGGTTGGCTCCCTTGGAGGCCATATCCTGGCCATTGGGGGTCTTGGTAAGTTTCTATGGGACACTGGAGAAGGGGGCCCAAGACAGGAAAGAGTCACCCCCTAGCAAGAGTACTTCCTTCTTCAGCCACTGCAGAGGTGTCAGGGCTTTGTTGAGCTTCTTTTCTTTACTCACAAATCAGCTGCCTGGCCCAGCTCTCAGTGCCTGACTGGTGCTCTGCATCCACAGAGGTGTAGGAAACAGTTGGAGGACTGAATGCATGGCCAATTGGACAAATCAAAACATGAATGAATGAATGAACAAATGATGAACAGAACAATGATGACCAAAGCACTGAAAACTCATCCTGGGGTGATATTTACTGAGCTCTTCTCTGGACTCAAGGAACAAAAGGTCTGGAGCCCCTTACATACAACCATCTGTCTCTCCTTCATGCAGGAAACCAGCCATGCCCTCTGGGCTCTGTGGAGAGCTTCAGTCTTGCACAGCGGCGCTGGGAGGCACTGCCCGCCATGCCTACAGCCCGTTGTTCCTGCTCTAGTCTACAGGCTGGACCCCGGCTATTTGTTATTGGGGGTGTGGCCCAGGGCCCCAGTCAAGCCGTGGAGGCACTGTGTCTGCGTGATGGAGTCTGAAGGCCTGGTGGGACTTGTCATTGGAGCAGCTCAGTGCAGAAGTAGATGCCTCTGGCTCCTTTTGCTCCTGAGGGAGCTCTCTGCAGCTCTGTGGGATGAGAGAGGCACAGAGGTGGACACTTGAAGTATTGCCTTTGGTACTTTGGTTGAGGGAGCCTTTGCCTTTAACACAGGACACACAAGCTCACACCTACCTTTACCACCATTCACTCATGAACATATCTATCTCTACTCTTGCCCTGTAGCCTACTAGGCCCTCTGACCAACTGGGAAGTATGGAACTGGAAGACCTGCCCTTGCACCCTGCAGGGTCCTTGTCTAGGATTGACCAGACCACCCCTATGGCTATTCTTGAAAAATCCTAATGGCCAGTCTGTTTTGAGGGTCCCTGTAGTCCCAGAAGTGTTCAGAAAGGGCTGGGGACCCAGAAGGAATGAAGTAAAGGGTGTGGGTACTGCCAGGAGGCAAGAGGAATGCTGGCCTTGGGCCCTCCACGTTGCTGTTGTATGACCTTGGGCAAGTCATTTTCTCTCTGTGCCTCAGCATCCTCATCTGTCAATGGGGATTCTCTGAAACCTTCCTGCCCTACCTACCTCACAGGGCTGTTGTGAGGACCCAGAGAGGCTCGATGTAGAAGTAAAGCTTCTGTTAAAATCTGGTGTGGGGCTTCTGGTGTGGACTCCCATGTTGTCCTCACAGCCTCTACCCTCTTTCAGGGACCTTTTGTTCTCCCAGTGAGCTTCTTGTATCTGGCCTCTGTCCCCAAAGGGACCTGGTATCTCAGGCACATGTAAACCTCAGCTTTGCCTTAGATGATGTGGCATAATTGCATTCCTATACTGTCATAGGAGTTGGAGACACCAATAGGATGACCAGAGAAGAGTTCAGAAAACTAAAACTGGGGCCGGGGAGGTGGCTCAGTAGAATAAGTGCTTCCCTGGCAAGTACAAGGGC